GACCTGGTCAACTGACCGCCATGGCAATAGCACTTGCGGCTCCCTGCCCACGTAGCCTCCCTAGGCCACACTTACCTCTTTATCATGGCCATAGTTGGACCATGCCCTCCGTGCCGCCCGCCGATCCAGCTCGTGGTCCTCAACCATGTAGCCCTCAATCATGAGCACAACCCTTCTCCTTCAGGATCTTTCTGGCTGCGGAAGCCAAGGTGGGCGAGTTGGCGCCCATCAGGGCCTCCCACCCACCGCGTCCCCGTACAACCCGGCCCTGGGCCGAGGGCTTCCCGGGGCCAATGTCCAAGGGCCCTCCGGCACCAGGTGTGAACTGTGGCGGTTCCAACCTTCTAGCCAGGCCTGGGCGCTGACGTGGGACCGTGGGAAAGGCTCTGAACTAGGAGTTCGCGGACGAAGGTGGTGGTGATGGCGATGCTGACACTGCCATTGAGCCCTGACCCTGACTGGCACTCAGGCTGTCTGACCTCCTCCTCCCCACGCCCCCTGCTGGAGGTGCAGGTGTGACTGGCATGACTACGTTGCAGAAGAGAAAACCAAGGCTGTGGAGTGAGCCATGCAGTCAAGGTCACAATGAGTAATAACAGCGAATACATATCAATCGGGCACATCACCGGGAGCCAGGCAGCTTCGTATTAAGAGCTTTTACATGTATTTTCTCATTTAATTCTTTTCACCAGGATTTGACGAGGCGGGTACTATAACCATCCCATTTCACAGAGGGGGAAACTGAGGCACGGAGAGATTAAGTAACTTGCTTGAGGTTTCACGCCAGTAACCAGAGAAACCAGGACTCGAACCCAGGCCGTCTGACTCTGGAGCCTGCAGTTATGGCCAAGAGCCTTTTTTTTCTTTTCATTAATCCTCACCCGAAGATATCTTTCCATTGATTTTTTTTTTTTTTTTTAGAGAGAGAGAGTGGAAAGGAGAGGGAGAGACACAGAGAGAGAAATATCGATGTGGGAGAGACACATCGATTGGTTGCCTCCCACACATGCCCTGACTGGGGCCGGGGACAAGCCCGCAACTGAAGTATGTGCCCTTGATCGGAATCGAACCCGGGACCCTCCGGTCTGCAGGCTGACACTCCACCCACTGAGCCACACCGGCCAGGGCATGGCCGAGAACCCTGTGCTCGTGGAACTATCCCCTCCGCTGTATGGCAGAGGCTCTCAAACACAGCAAGGACCAAACTGTGAAATGCTTCCCTGGGGGTAACCGAAGCCCCGAAACCCCGCCCAGGCCCGCATCCCGAGGGCCTTACCGGAGCCTCTCACTGATCCCCGCCAGGTTTGTGAGAGCCATGAGCGCCTCGAAGTTCTGCAGGCCTGAGCAGTTGAGGTGCAGCAGGGACACCAGGGGCCGGACCACCTCATAGACCTGCGATGTGCCCCCCACTGTCAGGGCTACACGGCCCAGCCCCCACCAGCCCGCTGACCCTGCAGCCGGCGGTCCCCCCAGCAGCAGGCTGCCCTCCCCATCCCGGGGCTCAGCTACAGCCGGGTTTGAGGCCATCAGGGCCCAGCGAGGGGCGGCGGGGGGGCCAGGGCTGGGCGGAGGACACGCACCCGCTCTCCGGGAAAGGTCATCTCTGGGTTGGAGGTGATGGTGAGCTTGGCGAGAGCCTGGGCAGCCTTTGTCTGCCCCACGTCCGTGCCTTCCAGGGCCAGCGGGAGCAGAGCCTATGGGGACAAGCCCTTCAGGGGTCATGATGTGCCTGGAGCGTGAGGCCCAAGCTGTCAGGCCCCGATGCCCTGACTGTGCGCCCTCACTATCCCCTCCCCGCCCCCCACAAGGCTTGTAGATCGCGTGGCTCAGACCCTCGTCGCCTCTCTGAGGTCTCCCATAGGCCACCCAAACACTTCCGGAAACACCATTCAAGACCTAGACCTTGGCTGTGCTGGGCAGGGGGCTAAGGAGGTCAATGACACAGGGAAAGGCCGACCCAGCAACTTAACAGGAGCCCAGCCCCTTCAGCATCACCCACTTAGCAGGAGGACGTTCCTCCCGCCATTTATAATGCGCTTTTTTAATTTCACAGAGGAAGGGAGAGGGAGAGACAGAAACATCGATGATGAGAGAATCATGGATCGGCTGCCTCCTGCACACCCCCCACTGGGGATCCAGCCCACAACCCAGGCAGGTGCCCTTGACCGGAATCAAACCTGGGACCCTTCAGTCCGCAGGCCGATGCTCTATCCACTGAGCCAAGCTGGCCAGGGCCACTGATACTGCTTTTTGCTCCGCATCTAACACCAACTGCTGGTACAGCAGCCGCTGAGTCAGGTTTTACAGCACAGACCCAGGAGGGAGTGTGGACAGCTCACCTTGCCCCCTCCCTGGGCAACCACCGTGCCGCGGTCCTCCGCCTCTTCCACCAAAGCCAGGAAGACCCTGCGGGGAGAAGGCGCGGTGGTGGGCGGCCGGGCCCGGCGGGCAGACATCCCACCCCAGAGGCCACGGCACCAGGCCCCGCTCCCTCGGACGGCGCAGGCTCACCTGGACAGCAGCTCCCGGCAGGAATTGGTCAGCACGGGGCTCTCCGTCTTCACCATGCACGTCATGGCGGACACCACGCCCGCCGCCAGCAGCTTCTTCACCCGGGCCCGCACGAAACTCGGCTTGTCCTGGGGAAGGAGGCGGCTGAGCACAGGGCTCCGGCTCATTACACAGGGAGAGGGGACCCTCCTCACAGCAGATCGATGACCATGAAAACCAAGGCGAAGAAACCGCCTTGAATGGAAGGTGTGCCTGCCGTGGGTGCCCCGGATCACCCGGTCCCAGGGGAGCTCCTTCCCCCAAGCTCCTTCCAGGGGCCCTCACCTTGGGGTGCTGCTCGGGCACGTGCTGCTTGGCGTACTTGGCCAGCTCCACCATCTTGGGGTCGGGCTCCTCGTAGTCGTAGCTGTTGGTGCAGTTCACCAGCGCCGAGGCCACCGCAAACAGCACCGACCGCTCCTCGGACTGCCGGGAGCAGGGGGCAGGGCAGCGCTGACACCAATGCTGCCCGCACCCCGGACCCCAGCTCTACCCTTGGCTGGACAGCTTGGGCACCAGGACGAATCTGGGAACGTGCCCAGGCCTCAGCCCAGCCCCAGACTTCGGGAGCTCACGCACATGACCCCCAACTCCTCTGGAGAGTTCATTGTTTCCAACACTGTGGGGCGGCCAGTATGCCCACGCCACACAGTGGGACCACTCCAGACGCCACACAGTGTGACCATTCCAGACACCATGGGACCACTCCGGACGCCACACAGTGGGATCACTCCGGACGCCACACAGTGGGACCACTCTGGACGCCACACAGTGGGACCACTCCGGACGCCACACAGTGGGACCACTCCGGACGCCACACAGTGGGACCACTCCGGACGCCACATAGTGGGACCACTCGGGACGCCACACAGTGGGACCACTCCGGACGCCACACAGTGGGACCACTCCGGACGCCACATAGTGGGACCACTCCGGACGCCACACAGTGGGACCACTCCAGATGCCACACAATGTGACCATTCCAGACACCACACAGCGGGACCACTCCGGACGCCACACAGTGGGACCACTCTGGATGCCACACAGTGGGACCACTCCAGACACCATGGGACCACTCCGGACGCCACACAGTGGGACCACTCCAGACACCACACAGCGGGACCACTCCGGACGCCACACAGTGGGACCACTCTGGATGCCACACAGTGGGACCACTCCAGACACCATGGGACCACTCCGGACGCCACACAGTGGGACCACTCCGGACACCTCACAGTGGGACCACTCCGGCTGCCAGCCCTCCCTCCCTGGGGCCAGTCTGCCGAGGAAGCCTGCTGGGCTCTAATCCTAGACAGAGTCCCGGGGCGACTGCAGAGCCAGGAGCTACCTGGCTGAGCTGGAACAGAGCCTTCAGGGCCGCCTCGTCCTCCACGAACTCCTCCTTCACGTCAGCATCAAAGGTGAGGTAGGCCAGGCCCTCCACTGCCCAGCGCCGAGTGCCAGCGTCAATCTGGTCATTGCACAGCCACCTGGGCACAGGCAGGGCACGGACAACCGTCAGACAGGGTGGTGTGAAGGGGGCCCACCAGGATCAGGCGGGGGGGTGGGGGGAGGGAACGCCAGGGGCTTGGGCATCCACTCAAAACAGGAAGCAGCTCACAGGGCAGGACCAGGAGGGTCGCCTGGGGGAGAGCAGGGCGGTGAGGAGACCCCACCGCCTCCCAGAGCCCCTCCTGAGGGCAAGCCGCGAGGTGGGGCCGCAGCAACGCCAGGTGACTCACTTCCGACACTGCTTGGCCAGTTTGAGGGTGGAGCCCTCAGCAAACTGCTTCATGCTGAAGTCAGTCCCTCCGGCCGAGCCCAGCTTACAGAGTCCCTGGAGGGAGAGGCAAGAACCAGTTGGCCGCTGAGCTGTTCTGGGCCCCACCCCTGGGAGTTAGCTGTTTTCCACATCACACCAAAAAAAGGGAAAAAAGCTTTTTACAGGCGGAGCTAAGATGTGGGAAAGACAGGTGCCTCAGCCAAGGTCAAGATCCTTATGGGGTGAAGAGACCAAGTGCCCTGGGGCTTTCCCCCCCCCCCCCCCCCCGTGCAGGGCTGCAGGCTCCTGGAGGCCAGACGGCCCCAACCACCAGCTCCCGGGACCGCCTGCAGGCCCAGCCTTCCCGCACAGCCCTTCCGACCAGCCTGGCCCGGCCTGTCCTCCAAACTCCTCATCACCTCCTCCTGGAGCTCCGCCCACCGCCTCCACGGGGCAGCCTGTCAGGGGCCCTCTGACCAGGGTTCTCTCTCTGACGGACCCTGAGCCCTCTGGGAGGAGGCAGGGCCCGTGCCTCTGGCCTGGACAAGCCCTGCAGACCCCCTAGTGCCTTCTAGAGTGAGCTGGGCTGCACCCTGAGACGCCAGCCAGGGGACCCTGCCCTTCTACCCGTGTGCCCGGCCCGGGCCGCCCATCTCACCACCAGCGCCCGGATGCGGATGCTGTCCTTCTCGCTGCGCTTGTACAGGTCCTTCAGCAGCGAGACGCCGTTGGCCGTGATGAAGGAGGCCCGCTTGGCCTTGCCGGCCGCGTGGATCAGGGCCTCCACGGCCACCAGCTGCTCCTCCTCCCGCTCAGAGGCGCACAGCGCGATCACGCTCTCCATGACGCCGCTCAGCTCCAGGGCCCGGTTGCCGGCGTCGCAGGGGCCCTGCAGGAGGCAGGACACCGTCTGGATGGCCCGCAGCTTCCCGGCCAGCCCGTGGTCCTCAAACCAGCTCCTGAGGGCACAGGGGCGGCTGTCACACCAGGGCCGGCATAGGGGACCCTCCTTCCCTCCCACCGGCCAGGTGTGCGCACACGTGGGCAGGGACAGCAAGGAAAGTTGCCAAGGCCATTTCCTGGACAGCAGTGCCGATCCATCGAGCCCTCCCTGACAACATACCGCCTTTTACTCACACCACCCCGCTTGTCTCCTCTGTCCTTAGTGAGATCTGTAATTGTTCTTTTTTTTTCTTAATATATTTTTATTGATTTCAGAGGGGAAGCGAGAGGGAGAGATAGAAACATCAATGATGAGAATCATTGATCGGCTGCCTCCTGCACGCCCCACACTGGGGACCAAGCCTGCAACCCAGGCATGTGCCCTTGACCAGAATCGAATCTGGGACCCTTCAGTCCGCAGGCCGACGCTCTATCCACTGAGCCAAACCAGCTAGGGCTGAAATTGTTCTTATTTCGTAATCTGTCTTGAGTGTTCTCTCAGCTGTAAGCTCCTTAAGAGCAGGACAGCCGTAACCGGTTTGGCTCAGTGGATAGAGCGGTGGCCTGTGGACTGAAGGGTCCCAGGTTTGATCCCGGCCAAGGGCACAGGCCCGGGTTGCAGGCTCGATCCCTGTGAGGGGCATGCAGGAGGCAGCCAATCAATGATTCTCTCTCATCATTGCTGTTTCTATCTCTCTCCCCCTCCCCCTTACTCTCTGAAATTAATACCTATATTTTTCTTAAAAAAAAAAAAAGAGCAGGACTGGCACGTTGCACTGCTGTGTTCAAAGAGACATAGTAAGTGCTCAGTGAACGCTGGGTCTGGGCTTGAGGTGGCATCACAGAGAACTGAGAAAGAAGGTCCCTGTGGAACGAGGCGTGGGCCTGGGACACGTGGCCCCTGCGCGTCCTCCCCAGGCCGCTGCCCGTGTCGAAAGCCTTTCATTACCCCCCCAACCCCCCCACAAGGAGCCAGAACCCAGGCTGGACCCGGCAGCGGAGAGGGCGCCTCGCTCGCCTGATGTAGTTCTCGCAGAGGCGGTGGAAGTTCTCCCTCTCGGCGTCACACTTGAGGTCGTCGAAGAGCTTGCTGAGGAGGATGGAGGCGCTCATGCGAGCTCCCCGGGAGGCTCCGGCACAGAGCCGCCCACCGCCAGGATCTTCTTCAGACCTGAGAGGACACCCTGGTCAGAGGCAGAACAGCCGGTCCAGCCCCGACGGGCCCAGGGCAGAGGTTTCTGGGAAAGGCACGGGACATAGGACCACGCTGCGCAGGCTGCGGGCGCAGGGCAGGCTGTCAGTCTGGCTGACCTGATGCCGCGGAGGCGGGTGTGAGGGCAGAGCAGGGCCTCAGCAGTGACGTCTGGGGCTCTGAGGTTCCTCGTGTGTAAAACTGAAGGGAAGCCCTAGCCGGTTTGGGTATCAGCCTTCGAACTGAAGGGTCCCGGGTTCGATTCCGGTCAAGGGCATGAACCTCAGTTGCAGGTTCCACCCTGGCCCTGGTTGGGGCCAGTGCAGGAGGCAACCATTGATGTGTCTCTCTCACATCAGTGTTCCTCTCTCTCTGTCTCCCCCCCTCCCTTCCACTCTCTCTCTCTAAAAAAATAAAAAAAAAAATCAATGAGAAAATATCCTCAGGTAAGGATTAACAAAAATAATAAAAAATATATTTAAAAAATAAAAACTGAAGGGAAAATAGCAATCACAGCCCTAGCTGGGTTGGCTCAGTGGATAGCGTGTCGGCCTGCGAACTGAAGGGTCCGGGGTTCAATTCCAGGTCAGGGCACATGCCTGGGTTGCAGGCTCCATCCCCAGTGTGGGCCGTGCAGGAGGCAGCTGCTCAATGATTCTCTCCCATCTTGATGTTTCTATCTCTCGCTCCCTCTCCCTTCCTCTCTGAAATCAAAGAAAATAGCAATCACCCCTCACAGGCTTACTGAGGTAACGAAAGGTGAGCACCCGATAGGTGAGCCCAGGCGGGCCCTGTTGCCAAGCTTTCCTTGCGTATCCTTTAGGGACAAAGACCAGTGTGAGCTCAGATATTACACTTTAAGATTTTCCCCGCATATAGAAGCAATACTCGCGGGCCTGCTCGGTGTGCGTGCGTGGGCACACGTCCCAGCTGGAGGTCTGCCTCCGGGGCCGGAGGGCCGGGCACAGGCCCCAGGGTGCGCTCAGGGCAGACCCGCGGCTGGCGCAGCCCCTCCAAGCGAGAGGCCACACGCGTGCTCAGGCCCTGGCCCTTCCTCAAAGCAGCACCGCCTACCTTGGTCAATGACCCAGAGGGTGAGGCTGTTGTCGGGGTCCCTGAGAGACTTGCGGGGCACCACCTTAATCAGGAGGCTCAGGGCGTTGTCGCGGCCCTGGCCCGAGGCGCCCGCCTCGGTCAGCAGCTCCAGCAGGTTGCTGATGAGGACCTTCAGCTCCCGGGTGGGGTCTGGCAGCAAGAAGACGTTAGGTTACACCGTGGCCCAGCCCTGCCTGACCTTTGAACTTTCTCAAGAGGCCAGAGATTAAGAGGGAGGGGGACCTGCATCCTGAGCTCTGGGCTGGGCTCCAGCTTCCCTACAGGCACCCTGACTGCTTAGAACCTTGACAGTATGGCTCAGTGGATAGAGCTTCGGCCTGCAGACTGAAGGGTCCCGGGTTCGATTCCGGTCAAGGGCATATACCTGGGTTGCGGGCACATCCCCAGTGGGAGATGTGCAGGAGGCAGCTGATTGATGTTTCTCTCTCATCGATGTTTCTAACTCTCTCTCTCCCTTCCTCTCTGTAAAAAATCAATAAAATATATTTTAAAAAAAAGAACCTTGAGTAGCCCTAGACAGTATAGCTCAGTGGATAGAGCGTCGGGGGTTTGATTCCAGTCAAGGGCTTGTACCTGGGTTACAGGCTCCTCCCCGGCCCGGGCCCTGGTTGGGGCTCGTGCAGGAGGCAACCCATCGATGTGTTTCTCTCACATCGATATTTCTGTCTTTCCCTCTCTCTTCCATTCTCTCTAAAAACCAATGGAAAAATACCCCCGGGTGAGGGTTTAAAAAAAGAAGAACCTGGAGTAAAACAGTGTCACCAGCCATTTTCCCAAAAGGCCTGGTGCCCAGCCCCGCCCCCTCCATGACAGACCCAGGCGACCGCAGCCCCGCCCCCACTCACCCACCACGATGGCGCCCTCTTTGCCTCGGAAGCCCTTCCTGACGCCTTCCTTGAGGGCATCAAACATCACCTGCAGCAGGTGGCAGGCAGCCAGCGACACGGCCTGGTTGTCCACGCCCAGGACGGAGACCACCCGCCGCGTCCCCAGCACGCTCAGCGTGGCCACTGTCTGGGGGAGAGAGGAGAGCCCCGGTTGGGGAAGGGCAGCCGGAGAGCTAGAGCCCTACCGGCGGGTCCCGAGTGTGGCCGGAGGTTCCGTTTGGCCTAAACCACCTTCGCAGGACATGTCACAGTTCCCCCGCTGACCCAGGAACTGTGGGCTCCGCTAGAGGCAACAAGGTCGAGTCCCTGGCCCCTGGGGCAGGCCTGTTCCTGCTGATGCATCTGTGCTGAGAGTCAGTCGAGTGACGGGCCCCTCATATCTGGTCTCCGTCTCAGACACCGTGGTGACATCGCTGACCACCCCCCGCGGGAGGACCCCCCTGGGGAAATGCAGACGGTGCTCAGGGGAGGACGGTGCGCTGTGTCTAAGACAAGCCTGCTTGCACCGCCCAGACAGCGAGTGAGTCAGCGACCGGGCAGCTCCGTGAGCAGCTGCAGGAACGACTGGCCACGCTCAGAAGCCCCCCCACACCATCGCCCCCCAAAGCAGGCACCCCAGTGTCGGCGGGTGGCTTTGCCCCTTCCCGGCCCCGGGCGGCCCCAATCATGTTGGCCTTTTTGGAGCCGTGTTACATTCTCCTCTCCCGTTACAGGCCTCCTTGTCCTCTGCCTCAAGTTGTCTTTGGAGGATGAGGGGTGGAAGGCAGGATGGACGGACGGAGGGACGCACGGACGGACGGGGGCAGGAAGCAGCCCCCACCTACCCGTGACTGGTGCTCAGAGCAGATGCCCACCAGCGTGCGCAGGGCCGCCAGCATCAGGTCGGCCTCCCCCGTGTCCAGCAGGCGCTGCAGGAGCTGCACCCCGTTGTTCCGGAAGATCTTCTCCGCCCCGGCCTCCTCCCGGGCCAGCACCACCAGGTTCTGGGAAGCCTGCGTGAAAGGGGACAGTGGTTCTCAACCTTCTGGCCCTTTAAATACAGTTCCTCACGTTGTGACACCACGCACACAGGGCCCGGCGGGCAGAGGCCCCGCGCTCCGGCCCCGCTGGTGACCCTGGCTATCCATTTAACCTCGCCGAACCTCAGTGCACTTCTTTGGGGGTTTTTTTTGTGTATTTTTAAAATATATTTTTATTGATTTCAGAAAAGAAGGGAGAGGGAGAAAGAAACATCAGTGATGAGAGAGAATCATTGACCGACTGCCTCCTGCACGCCCCCTACTGGGGATCGAGCCCACACACGGGCATGTGTCCTGACTGGGAATCGAACCGTGACCTCCTGGTTCATAGGTCGATGCTTAACCACTGAGCAACACTGGCCGGGCCCCTTCTTTGTAAGGAGGGCAAGAGCCTGCTCTCAGGGCTGGTAGTTAGAGTACGTGGGGTCCTGAGTCCCTGGCAAAGACGGGCCCCCGGGGCTTCTGGGTGAACCCCAGCACACAGGGCACTGCGGCCGGGCAGCCCCACCGGGAGACCAGCTCTCACTCGGCCCAGGCCCCTCACCTTCTGCTTCTTCTCGGTGCCTTTCTCCTGGGGGTCCAGCAGGATCTGAAACATCTGCTCCACCTTGGCATCCGTGGAGGACATGTACCGCACCTGCGACAGAGCGAGAGCATGGGCCCCACCGCCGCCTCGGGCCAGACACACACACAGCCCCTTTGTTCTCTCCGGCTCCTCCCAGTGCCTGGCTCCCGTGTCTGGGAGGCCCGGCGAGGAGGTCTGGGTTGGGGCGAGCACCCAGCTCCCGTGGGCAGGAAGGGACTCGCCTGGCAGCTTCTCCCCAACTTCCCGCGGCTGTTTTCCTCCCTGAGCGACTTCCCGCTTGGTCAGCAGGGGCAGTGCCGCTCAGAGGGGAGGCATCCTCTCCGCCAAAGGCTACCCCTCCCAGAGGCGCCATCGACGCTGGGGCAGCACTTACACTTCCTGCAAGGGAGCCAGCAGGGGGTAGGTCGCTGCCCACACTCCCCTTGGGTAGAGTGTCCTCCTTTTGAGTTTTTGAAAATAATCTAAATGATCAGGATCACCCCAGGCCTCTCCCTCCCCATGGCTCTGGGTCCCTGCTCCTCTTGCACCCATGGCAGCATGACTAATCAGTCACGGCACACGCTCCTGCCCGGCCCAGGTGCTCCCTAATCCTTCTCAACAAGGGCTCTAGCCAGACCCTGGGAATCAAACAGAGCTGGCACCAAAAGGAGCACAGTTTGGCCCGGCCGGCGTGGCTCAGTGGTTGAGCATCAACCTATGAACCAGGAGGTCACAGTTCGATTCCCAGTTGGGGCACATGCCCGGGTTGCAGGCTCGATCCCCAGTGGAGGGCATGCAGGAGGCAGCCGAGCAATGATTCTCATCATTGATGTTTCTGTCTCTCTCTCCTTCTGCCCTTGGCTGGAATCGAACCTGAGACCCTTCAGTCCGCAGGCTGACGCTCTATCCACTGAGCCAAGCCGGCTGGGACAATGTTAAAAGAAATAAAAAAGGAACAGTTTGCTTTCCCAGGTCTCGACCTTTCAATGAGGAATTAGCCATCGCATTATTCGCTTCTACTGTTTCAGCATTTTAACACCAAATGATCTGGTTAATTCAAGCTTGGGCAAAGTTCACGATGGCCTTCAGATTCTCTTCTCCTAATTACGTGAGCGCCTATGCCACACAAATAATGCCTCTTTATTTAAAAAAATTAGCAGGTGAAGCCATGTCTCCTTAGAAGAGCCCCCTCATCCCATTCCTTTCCCCAGAGGTCTCACCGGTGACGTTTTCATGTGTATTTTTAGTTATTTTTCTCCCTACTTACATACCCAAGTGTGGGTGCAGAAAAAATAGGGGGTGGTCTTGGGTGTGTATGTGGGGAAAACATCTATAATAATAAAAGGGTAATATGCTAATTAGACCAGACAGCCAAAAGACCTTCCGGACGTCCTTCCAGATGTCCTTCCGGACGACCTTCCGAATGAAGCCAGGACTGTGAGGGCCGAGCCCCTTGCACGAATTTCGGGCATCGGGCCTCTAGTTTTAATATAAATGACACCATACTGTATGTGTTACTGTATGTTTTCCCTTTTCCCATTTAAGCGTCAGCCTTCCACGCCTGTGCATGCGGGTCCACCTACTCTCAACTCTCGGTAACTGCCATGTAGGACGTCACCCAGTGTAGCCAGCCATTCCCCCGCTGCTGGGCACTGAGGCCAGTTCCGGGTTTTCATGGAGCCCAACAAGGCTGCAATCAACACACACGCCAGCTTGTGTACACGGATGGGCAACACTTGAGGTGCGACAGGTAAACACACCGGATACAGCACCTGCTCGTTTACCATTTTAAGAGAGATGCTGAAGCGCTCCCCCAGGGAGCTGCACCAACGCACACCCGCCGGGCAGCCAGGGGCAGGCTCGCGCCCCTAACCTCCCCACGTCAGCGTCTCCCTCCCGCCTTCTAGCCAAGTATACACTTTATTTATCTATTTTAATCCTCACCCGAGGATATTTTTTCATTGATTTTTAGAGACAGTGGAAGAGGGGGGAAAGACAGAAATATCGATGTGAGAGAAACACATATCAAGTGGCTGCCTCCTGTACGCACCCCGACCAGGGTCCGGGCTGGGGAGGAGCCTGCGATCAAGGTACGTGTCCTTGACCAGAATCGGGCCCAGGACCCTTCGGTCCTCAGGCTCGACGCTCTAGCCCAGTGGTCGTCAAACTCATTAGTCAACAGAGACAAACTCGTTAGTCAACAGTACAATGATTGAAATTTCTTTTGAGAGCCAAATTTTTTAAACTTAAACTATACAGGTAGGTACATTGTTATTCACTTAATTAGGGTAACTCCTAAGCTGGCCTTTGCTAAAAACGTCCTCAATCTGATTGAGGTACGTTAGCCGAGGTCGACCCCTTCCAACTCTCCCATCCACACGCGTCTTGTATACTTGTTTCGTCTATCTCCTTTCGTTCATCCTCTCTATATGTCCAAACATCTCAACATACCTTTCTCCATCCTCGACACTACATCTTCTTTCACTCCACAACGTTCCCTAAAATTAACTTAATAAACTTTACTTAAAGTTTTAAGTCAACTTCGCACTGTACGTGCGCGCCCGCACGTGGTATTTTGTGGAAGAGCCACAATCAAGGGGCCAAAGAGCCGCATGTGGCTCGCGAGCCGCGGTTTGCCGACCCCTATGCCAAATCGGATAGGGCAAGTGTACAAACTTTAAACAGCGCCAGACAGACCGACGAGAAGCCAGCACCTTGCTGGTATTTTAGTTTGCGTTTCCCTACCTGCTGGCGAGGCTCTCGGGCCGTCCTCCCTGCAGAACTGTGTTTCCGCCTTCGACCCACACCCCTTCCCAGGGTCCCTCCGCCACCAGTCAATGCCCCGTGCCCTCCCCGTCACTCACGTACCTTCTCCTGAATCTGGCCCCCGATGCTGCGCAGGGCCTCCTGGAAAACTCTGTTCTTGGGCTCCAGGCTCACGCACCTCTGCAGGTCCAGGACGGCCTGGTCCAGGCGGCCCAGCTTCTCCAGGGCCTGGCTCCGCCGGTAAAGCGCCTTGACGTCCCCGCCGTCCTTGTCGATGGCTGAGCACAAACGGGAGCTCGGTCAGCACCCAGGAGGCCACCGTCTCCAGGCGGGAGCAGGAGGGAAAGATCTTGAGGGCCAGAGGAAGGTGGGGGGACGGATGCGGGGCTCAGCACTCCGGCCGCAGAAAAGGTGAGGGCAGCTGCAGAAAAGGAAAGGCCCGAGGAAGTGGGCAGGCGGGCAGGTGCGCTCCAGAGGGGAAGAGGAGAAGGTGGTCATGCGGGTCCCAGGTCCTTGCCCACCACAAAGCCCCACAGCTCCCTCCGCACAGGGCGCGTTCCCCACCTTTGGAGGCCTCGGTTTCTGCTTTGCTGTAATCTTCCTGCAAAAGAAAAGCAGGCGGCTGGCTGCGTTCCACAGCGCGGCAGGGCTGTCCCCCCTACCACCCGGCCCCCTACCACCCGGGGGCCCCCAAAGACATCCCACAGGTGTGGGCGGCCTGAGAAGGTGAATGTCCGGCCAGGGCCCCCCCGCAGCGGCGAGATGTACAACGCGGCCCCGGCGGCCCGGGCTCCCTCACCAGCTTAAGGTGGCAGGCGGCCCGGTTCCGGTGCAGGATGGCCTGGTCCTGGGGCGTCGCACCCAGATCCAGGGCCTGGGTGTAGGCCGCCAGGGCGCCCTCGTAGTCCCCGCATTTGAACAGCTCGTTGCCATCTTTCCGCAGCTGCTCCACGGAGCTGGCCTGCGGAGGGGAGCGGTGCGAACGTCGGCGCTGGGCTCGGGGCCCGCCCGGAGCTGGGTGTCCGGGACCAGCCCCCCATGGAGGGCCAAGACAGGGGCGAGGAGGCGGCGGGGAGTGGGCAGAGCAGGTGCGAGGTGGTGCAGGCGCGGGGGATGGGCACCCCGCCCCCCGCCCCCGGGACGGTGGCTGGGTGGGGGTCCCGGGACCACTCACCGTCATCGCGGAGGACCTCCCTGGCGCGCGCCGTCGCGGGCTCTGGGGCGGGCGAAGCCCAGACGCCGGAATCCGCCGTGGGATGCCCCGCCCCCTGACGTCATTGGCGCCGGCCGAGAGGGGGCGGGACCAAGGCGTGCGCGCGCCGCGAGGGGCGGGGCGCTCGGCCGGCTCCGCATGCGCAGAGGAGCCGGGGGCGCGCCTAGTCTGTTCCCACCGAGACCTGCAGGGGGCGCGCGTGGGAACACCCCGAGGGAGACGCGCAGAGGCCCTGGCCGGGGCCCTGACCGCGGCGGGAGGGCACGAGGTCTGCGGTCACCGGGTCGCGAGCAGCAGCCTGGGGAGGCCCGGCGCCAGGAGCGGGTCTCGGTGGGAGAGGAGACAGTGGTCAGGAGGTGAGAGTTCAGAGAAAGCTCGGCCCCCTCCCCGGATAAATGCAGAATCTTAATAAACACGAATCCAGGGGGTCACAGGTGCCCTTAAGCCATCCATGGGAAGATCCAGGATGCAACCCCGACTATAATGTGTGTAATCCTTGACCCTCGACCCACAGCGTAGACGTGGCCCCTGTTACCTGCTTCTCGGGCCCCGTGGACTTTTCCTGCCCCGAATGGTTTGCAATCATGTGTTCACGTGATTTTCTGTTTTGAGGTCTGTCTCTCCACTAGTCTGCAAGCTACAAGCCTCCCGTCCCGGAACTTAGAGCCCCAGATCCTGGAAAACGCACTGGCCGTGTTCCCGTGGCTTTGGGGCTGGAGTTGTCACTGGGCTGAGGCATGGACAGGCCCGCCCAAGTGCATCGGAGCCCCTGCAGCCTGCAGGTGGCAGCAGGAGGCTGTGTCAGGAGCATCGGAGAGCTGAGGACAAGAAAGCAGGGTCTTGTTGGCATACTGGGTGGATGGTCTGGCACAAGTGAGGGTGCTGAGCCTGAGGACTGAAGGACCCAGTCCGGGGTTCGTTCTGGTCAAGGGCACGTACCTTGATCAATTGGTTGCCTCCCCTAAGATGTGTGCCCGAGGCGACCAATTGATGTCTCTCACATCAACGGATATTTCTCTCTTGCTCTCTCTCTATCTCCCCCACCCCTCTTCCTTTCTATTCCCTAAATAAATGAAGTCAAATGGAAAAAAAAACAAAAAAACAAGTGAGGGTGCTGAGCCAATGCTGAAGGGAGGGGCAGGGGGCTGGCGACAGGCAGAAACGGTCTGCCCGCACCCTACTCCCCGCCTTGGGGAGAGTGAAAGGGGTCAGCTCTTATCGGAAGGGCAGGCTCCCTTCCTCCCAACCAGCTTCCCAGAGGAGCTCAGTTCCTGCTGAGAGAGTAGGGGACCGGAAGTGGGTCGGCTGGGGAGTAGGAGGAGACTGCTGTACCTGAGAGAGAGGTCGGCTGGGCAAGGGTCACCCAGCTGAAGAGCAGTGGTAGCTCCAGGGACAGCCTCCCCTGGGAGCCCCTGAGAGGCCACCGCCGCCTCTGCCCTGGTCCTAGGAACCCCAGCGTCTTTCTTGCTGAGCTATGGCTGCAAACTATAAGGAAATAACAGTCAAAGCCCCAAGGCCCCTGGGCTATGAACACCCGGGCACAGACCTCTAGAGAGAGTGAAAAGTGATGGAGTGTGTCTTCTGTTGCTCGGCCAGCGTGGCTCAGTGGTTGAGCGTTTACCTATGAACCAAGAGGTAACGGTTCGATTCCTGGTCGGGGCACATGCCCGGGTTGTGGGCTCTGTCCCCAGTGGGGGATGTGCAGGAGGCAGCTGATCCATGATTCTCTCTCATCATTGATGTTTACACCTCTCTCTCCCTCTCCCTTCCTCTCTGAAATAAATTTAAAAAAAAATTTTTTTTAAAAGGGAAAATGTAGGGACTGTGGCTCCAAGCGGCCTAAGGTTTTCTGAGCTCTAGGGGAAGGGCTCAGAAGACCACAGGACAGAATGAGCGGTGAGAAAGAAGTGGAGCCATCAGCCTAGTGAACAGATACGCATTTTAGAACCATTCTCAGCTTCCAGGCTGCCATGGAGGCCCTGGGAATGCTGATGGCTCCGTTTCCGGCCCCAGAGGCCTCAGTTCAAGCCTTTGGAACTTCCCTCCCTACCCTCTGTGTCGTGGCAACCACCAAGACGAGCTGATAACTGAGGGTGAATCCTTTCATTGACGTTCCCCCTGAGCCCTCATCTGCACCAGCGACAGCCAGAGCACACACGCTGCCTGTGTGGTTGGAGTTTCCTTAGCAACGAGCTGATCCATGTCACAGGCAAAGCTCTTCCAGGGTGTGAGGGTCCTCTTACCCCTCATACCTCATAGCCGCCTTCCCCTGAGGCGGACTTTAGCCAAAAGGCTGGAGCAGGGGTCCTCAAACTTTTTAAACAGGGGCCAGTTCACTGTCCCTCAGACCGTTGGAGGGCCGGACTATAGTTAAAAAAAAAAAAACTATGAACAAATTCCTATGCACACTGCACATATCTTATTTTGAAGTAAAAAAACAAAATGGGAACAAATACAATATTTGTATTTGCATGTGGCCCGCGGGCCGTAGTTTGAGGACCCCTGGGCTGGAGGCCGCCCGCCAGCAATGTTAAGTGTTATTCTAGTACCTGCCTGCGGCCTGACAATGTCATGCTCCCAGAAGAGCAGTGGCGACACACATCACCCCAGAGCCCACAGCCGGTGCCCGGGGACTGATGCACGAACCCTTATGGCACAAAAATGCAAATTTTGTCCCAGCACCTGAGAGCAAAGAAGACAGTTCCTGTATAGCTAACATGGCTCAGTGATCGAGCGTCCACCCATGAACCAGGAGGTCACGGTTCAATTCCCAGTCAAGGGCACATGCCCAGGTTGCAGACTCAATTCCCTGAGGCGGGGTGTGTGTGTGTGTGTGTGTGTGTGCAGGAGGCAGCCTATCAATGATTCTCATTGATGTTTCTATCTCTCTCTTCCTCTCTGAAATCAATAAACATATATATTTTAAAAAGTCAGCAACTCCAATGTTAATCACTAACTTAAAAAAAAGAATAGCCCTGCCATGACTGGTTTGGCTCAGTGGATAGAGCAGCCGTGGGCAAACTACGGCCCGTTTGAAATGAATAAAACTAAAAAAAAAAAAAAAAAAAGACCGTACCCTTTTATGTAATGATGTTTACTTTGAATTTATATTAGTTCACACAAACACTCCATCCATGCTTTTGTTCTGGCCCTCTGGTCCAGTTTAAGAACCCATTGTGGCCTTCGAGTCAAAAAGTTTGCCCACCCCTGGGATAGAGTGTCAGCCTGCGGACTGAAAGGTCCCAGGTTCGATTCCAGTCAAGGGCACGTACCTTGGTTGCAGGCACATCCCCAGTGGGAGATGTGCAGGAGGCAGCTGATTGATGTTTCTCTCTCATCCATGTTTCTAACTCTCTATTCCTCTCCCTTCCTCTCTGTAAAAAATCAATAAAATATATTTTTTTTTAAAAATAGCCCTGACCAGTTTGGCTCAGTGGCTAGAGCGTCGGCCTGTGGACTGAAAGGTCCCAGGTTCGATTCCGGTCAAGGGCATGTACCTTGGTTGCGGGCACATTCCCAGTAGGGGGTGTGCAGGAGGCAGCTGATTGTTGTTTCTCTCTCATCCATGTTTCTAACTCTCTATCCCTTTCCCTTCCTCTCTGTAAAAAATCAATAAAATATATTTTAAAAAAATAAATAAGCCAGTTCCTGCAGAAACATCGCTGCTGGCTGGGAGCCTAAATCTGAAGCAACTCAGCAGGGCTTCCAGCAAAGGCTCCAATTTCCAGAAGGTCAGGCCCTAGGGGTCTCCTGGGTCCCAAAGTGAGGCTCGGTGCCCATAGCAACCAGGCCCGCCCCCGCGGGGAGAATTCTTTTTAGAGCATTTGGGAATTTTCAGAGCACTGATAGGTTGCAGATTGTCTTTGCATGTGGGGGAGAAGTCCCTCCTGGGACAAGCTGGCTCTGACCTTGAGGTTAGGCGAATTGCCCTGCCCCCTCAGTAACAGCCACCGGTGCCTTCGTGCCCTGGAATCGGCACACTGTGTGGCCTCGGAGAACCAGGACTTGTTCTTGCGCCCCCAGCAGAGCGCCCTGAACCAGGACCTGCCCGCCCCCCCCCCCCCCCCCCCCAATCCCCCCAGGGTGGGCCCCCCCAAAGGAAATCTTTTGGGGTGGGTTCCCAAATCCCCCCGGCCCCCCCGCCCCCGGGGGGGCTTTGGAGCTCGGTCCGGCTTCCCTTCCTCGCGGAACCCCAGTCGCTCGCCCCACCGGCGCGATGGGCTCCGAGGTGGCGCAGCGTGCTAGAAGCTGCGGACTTCGCGGCTCACAAGCACCGACGCAGCGGCGGATGGACCCCGAGGGACCCCCTACATCAACCACCCGATCGGTGGCGCACAGCCCCGGGAGTAACTTGAGCGGCTCCGGGGGACGGGGGGTGGGACCGTGCACCTCACTGAGCACCTACTCTGCACCGAGCTTTGTGCCACGCACTGTGGGTGATGCAGCCTCAGACCATCCGGGGTGGCGGGCATGGCTGTTCCCTGTGTACGACTGACACCCAAAGAGAGTCAAGGACATGCCCGAGGACACCCTGGCTCCAAACAAATCCCACCAACACGCGGGCTGGACCCCCTCCGGTCTGATTTCCTGCTCTGCCCGTCAGTGTGGCTCGGATCCTGACCCACGAGGCGGGAATCACTGACATTGCGGTGTTACAGGTAACTTTTCCCTCCTCCGCCGACAGACAGGAGGCTGGGGTGGGGACCGGCGCCCCATTCAGCTCTGGCTGGCGCCGCAGGGCTAAGTAGGAGCCTGTCCCCAGGCGGCCCTGCTCCATGACACGGTGGAGGACACGGACACCACCCTCGATGAGCTGGAGCTGCACTTCGGGGCGCAGGTGCGGGCGGCTGGTGGAGGAGGTGACGGATGACAAGACGCTGCCGAAGCTGGAGAGGAAGAGGCTGCAGGTGGAGCACGCGCCCCACAGCAGCCCGGGGCCCAAGCTGGTGAAGCTGGCGGACAAGCTGTACAACCTGAGGGACCTGAATCGCTACACCCCAGAGGGTAGAAACCCCCACCTGCTCTGGGGGGACAGGGAGGGCCCATCTTCTGGAGGCCCAGGTGGCTCCGTTCCCCTGGGGGCGGGGAGTGTGGGGGGGCGGGGGGGGGGGAAAGCCTGGGCGTCCTGGTTAATTCCCCAAACCTGTGATCGGCAAACTGCGGCCCAAACGAGTCCCTACCAGACCACTCTGGTCTGCTTTCATGGGGCAGAAATACCGGAGCTGGGCCAGATTTCAAGACACATCCTTCCACCAAGCCCTGCAGGGAGTCGGCTGCCATTCCACGACCGTGTTCTGTCCCTTCCCACGCAGGGTGGTCGGAGCACCGGGTGCAGGAATACTTCGAGTGGGCGGCGCAGGTGGTGAAAGGGCTGCAGGGCACCAGCCGGCCGCTGGAAGAGGCGCTGCAGCAGCTGTTCAAGGAGCGGGGGCTGGCGCTGTGAGCGGAGCCTGGATCCCGGAGCCGGCCGGCGGCACAGCTTCCAGCCCTGCCCGGGCCAGAGGGGACTCATTCTCCAGCCTTCGGGCGCCTCTCCACCCTCCGTGGTTCACTCCGCCCAGCGGCCCAGAGCGTTTGCCCTTTCCCACCCTGAAGGCCTCCTGCCAAGTAAGCTGAGCCTGGACTGTGGGGGCCAGGCGCACCCCGTCCACTTCCAATGCATTCACTGCCCTTCAGGCCTTGGGGCCATTTGCCATTTGCCAGATGGGATCTCCGGTCCCTCGGGCTATACAGACACGCGTTGCATAGTCATGATGGAAAATAAAGCATTTCGGGTCGAGTTTGAGCTGCTGCTCCTTCTCCAGGCTCTGGGATGGGGGACCGGCAGGTGCGATTCCCGCCCTGAGCCAGGTCCCCCGGGTTGAGGGCCTTCGCCTCTTGGCCTGGTTTCCTGTCGGTGAGAAAGGTGGTGAATTCTCGGGGTTCCATAGCGTGACGTGCTTGAAGGAGCCTGACAGATGCCCAGTGAATGTTGGGCGTCCTCGTTGGGAGAGTCCGGCCAGCGGGCAGGTGTATTGGAAAGGCGCGCCGCCCGCTCGCTCGCAGCTCCTGCCCAGCGCGGGAGCGGCCAAGGGATAGGTCCAGGTCGCAGCCTGTCACCTGGTTGCTAAGCGACAGGGAGTTCCGGCTGCTCCGGAAGCGGCCCCTCCCACATAGCCCGAGGTGGGCGGGACCTGGGAGGCTGCGGGGCTGTGAGTGGCATGTGCGCGGGGGGCGGGCGTATCGCAGGAGGAGTTTTTGGTCCTGCGGCGCCGGGAGGCTTATGAGCCCCTTGGAAAGGGCGCACCTGGGGGACCGGGACACTGTTGGGTCACAGCCACTCCGTTCTGGCCCAGGATGGTTTTTCACCCCAAGAAGGCCCAGTGCACTCTCAGCAGGGAAAAAAAAAAGAGGTAACAAAATGAGGACTTCAAAAGGAAATGAGTTTGCCCTGGCTGGTGTTGCTCCTTGGTTAGAGCCTTGATCTGCCTACCTAAGGGTCATGGGTTCGATTCCCGTTCAAGAATGGCAGGTTTGCCCTGGCTGGTTTGGCTCAGTGGATAGAGCCTCGGCTGTGGACTGAAGGGTCCCAGGTTCGATTCCGGTCAAGGGCATGTACCTTGGTTGCACGAACATCCCCAGTAGGGGGTGTGCAGGAGGCAGCTGATCGATGTTTCTCACTCTCTATCCCTCTCCCTTCCACTCTGTAAACAAAAAAAATCAATAAAATATATATATTTTAAAAAATGGCAGGTTTGCCCTGGCTGGTTTGGCTCAGTGGATAGAGCGTCGGCCTATGGACCGAAGGGTCCCAGGTTCGATTCTGGTGAAAGGCACATACCCAGGTTGCAGGCTCCCGGCCCTGGTGGGGGCAGGAGGACATGTCGAAGGCAACCAATTGATGTCTCTTTCACATCGGTGTTTCTCTCTGTCTCTCCCCCTCCCTTCCACTCTAATGGAAAAATTATGAAGACTAAAAAATTAACAAAATAGCAGGTTTGATCCCGTGTGTGAGAGGCAACCAATTGATGTGGCTCTCTCACATCGATATTTCTTTCCTTCCCTCCCTCCTGTCTTAAAAAAATTAATGGAAAAAAAATATCCTTGGGTGAGGATTAAAAAAAGAAAAATCAATGGGGGGAAATATAACCTCTGCTGAGGATTAACAAGAAGGAAATGAGTTTCAGGACAGTTCCGGATAAACCGATCAAGTTCAGTGTAATCCTCTTACGGCCGTGCAAGCTGCAGTACTTTTTGGAGATTTGGGATTGTTGTGCTTTTTTTTTTTTTTAATATATATATTTTATTGATTTTTTACAGAGAGGAAGGGAGAGGGATAGTCAGAAACATCGATGAGAGAGATACATCGATGATCAGCTGCCTCCTGCACACCCCCCACTGGGGATGTGCCTGCAACCAATGTACATGCCCTTGACTGGCATCGAACCTGGGACCTTTCAGTCCGCAGGCCGACGCTCTATCCACTGAGCCAAACCGGTTTGGCTGTTGTGCTTTTTTTATTATTAATTTTTTCAGGGGGTGGGATTACAAGATGTTAAAAACAATATTTACCAAATTTGAAAAATAATTCTGCAGTTTTAAGTGGTTTCAATTTAAGTCTCAGGACATTTAAACAAATATAAACCCCTTCTGTATCTTGAGAATGAAAATATAAAGAGACCGCCCTAACCAGTTTGGCTCAGTGGATAGAGCGTCGGCCTGCGGACTGCAGGGTCCCAGGTTCGATTCCAGTCAAGGGCATGTACCTTGGTTGCAGGCACAACTCCAGTAGGGGGTGTGCAGGAGGCAGCTGGTCAATGTTTCTGTCTCATTGATGTTTCTAACTCTCTATCCCTCTTCTTTCCTCTCTGTAGAAAAATCAATAAAATACATTAAAAATATAAAGAGACCATCACGAGGTACTTGATGTTTTACAAACCTCCCTGTATGTCATGTTCTTTATAAATAACCAGATGAGTGGGCTGGGGAGGGCAGGGATTACTCTCATTCTATGGAGAAGAAGAAGACTCATTAATCATTAAATAGATCACATAGTGACAGACCCAGGACCAGCCCTCTCTGGGTCTGCCGTGCTGCTGGGCCCCGTAACCAGGCAAGAGTGACCTCAATCGTGGTCATTCTAACCGCTGGACAGAGGAGCGATCAGGTCTGAAGTAGCCAGTGGATCTGGACTGTGAGTCTGAGGCTCCTTAGATAAACTGTTTGACCTGAGCCAATAGAGTTAATTTTTTACAATTATTTACAAAAATTTAAACCATCAGAAACTTACAAGTTGGAAGTACGGGATAAGTAACTTTACGCCCTGAAACCACTTGAGTTCAACTTGAAGGTGAGAGTCACCCAGAAGCCAAGTCCGAGCTCTGCTCGGGCCTGGCCCACCCTGCGTTGGGAGGACGTAGATCTTAGTTTGAATCTGCCTTTCTCTTCATGGTTCCCACTAGCCATACAGCCCTCCCTTCTTTTTAAATATATTTTAATTGATTTCATAGAGGAAGGGAGAGGGAGAGAGAAACATCAATGATGAGAGAGAATCACTGATCAGCTGCCTCCTGCACACCCCACACTGGGGACCGAGCCCACAACCTGGGCATGTGCCCTGACCAGGAATCGAACTGTGACCTCCTGGTTCATAGGTGAGCCACGCCGGCCGGGCCAGCCCTCCCTTCTTCATGGACACGGATGGCTGGAGGTGGCTGGAGGTGCAGGGAGGAACACGACTCTCCCCATTCCCGGTGCTTGGAGTTGCTCCTGCGTTAGGTCCTGGTTCCAGTTTTGGTTGTAACTGTGAGGCCTCAGGGCCAGAGCTCCATGGTCGAGGCTGCTGCTTGCCTGGAAATTGCAGGCCCGTTTCCAAATGAGCGTGCAGAACCACCACCTGGGGCTTGTCAACATGCCGATTCTCTGGCCCCTCCTCCCAGAGACTGGTTCAACAGGCTGTGCCCAGGCATCTGCCTTTCCCCCATGCACTACAGTTAGGTTTCCTTTCTTGTTCTTGTCATATGTCAGTCCCAGGTTGCTGGAGCTCAGCTCCACAGACCCTCATCCCGGCATTCATGCCGAGGGAGCAGCCTGTCAGGACGGGCCACGGAGCTGGAATGCCAGCACGCGATCCTGGTGAATCCGACCGCTCCCTGCGCAATGCTGCCATGTAGTTCGAGGAGGCCAGTGCGTAGGAGTAAACATGTTCATTCCCAGCAGATGAGTAACATCTAAGGCCTCCAAAGAGCCTTTATTCTGCTGACTTCGTAGGGGCTTCACAGATTCTCCCTTCTTTTGATTACACAGTATGCTAGCAAACAACACCTGCAGCCCGGCCAGCGGTGCTCAGTGGTTAGCGTCGACCTATGAACCTGGAGGTCAGGGTTCGATTCCCGTTCAAGGGCACATGCCTGGGTTGCGGGCTCGATCCCCAGCAAGGGGCGTGCAGGAGGCAGCCAATCCATGATTCTCTCTCATCACTGATGTTTCTATCTCCCTTTCCCTTCCTCTCTGAAATAAAAAAATATATATTTTTTTAAAAAAAAAACACAAAACACCTGCTATGCTGTAATTGCTTGGCATCCTTTACTAACATTACAGCTCATGTTTGTGGGGCTCCTATATGCACTATGCTAAGCCCTTCGCAGTAATCTCATTTCTTCCCCGTGAGAGGCAGGGCTCCATGGGCCCTGGGCAGCCTGAAGCGTCAGGTAGCTGCTTAGCAGGCCCAGTGGCTCTCCCTCAGGGCCCCACAGCCAGCTTTCCCCCTAATCGTACTCACCCATTTATTTATTTTTGTCAATCCTCACCCGAGGATATTTTCCCATTGCTTTTTAAGGAGAGTGGAAGCGAGAGGGAAAGACAGAGAGAAACATCGATGTGAGAGAAACACATCGATTGGCTGCCTCCTGCAGGAGCCCCGACCGGGGCCTGGGCCAGGGAGGAGCCCGAAACCAAGGTACGTGCCCTTGACTGGAATCGAACCCGGGACCCTTCGGTCTACAGGCCGACGCTCTATCCACTGAGCCACACCGGCTCGGGCAAATATTGCCTCCCAAATCTGTCTTTTGCATTTTAACCCCCAAGTCTTCCATCATACAGAAACCTTGAATATTTTCTGGTAAAATCTTTCTTTTCCCTCATTACATCATTTCCTTTATTATTATAAACCTTTTAGGTTTCATATGTTTATAACAGGCCTTCCCACACCAGAGGTTTGAAAATATCCTATATTTTCTTCAGTGGTTTTATAGTTTATTATTTTTTC